TTTCATCCATTTACGATTGTCTCCATCTTCCCCTTCCTTTCAACCCAGTCATTCTTCCTTTGTATATTTGTTTGCAATATGATCCTCATTCTGTGTAAACAAAAATGCAATGAAGAACCGAGGAGATTATCCTAGATTCTTGTTTAATTCCCTGCTCAGAATCAAACCATTGGCTAAACATAATAGGTATTCTCACAAACGTTCTTCTTGCATCCAGAAACTCCATATTAATGTAAGGCATTTTGCAACTGAAGCCTATTTACTTTATCATACGCTTTCTTTAATATGTTCAAATATTTCCCTGCTGAAAAGCAAAACAGTCTAGAGCTAGACAAACATCCGGCCTGTAATAAGATCACACTGCATTTCCCCGGTTTTGCTTGTTAGCAGTTCTCATATTGTCATCTGCGAATCAGAAGTCTCTTGGGTCCCTTCTGAGGCATACTTAACTATAATTATTTTTGGCTGTTTTTTGTAATTATTTCTTCCTCTGTGTGTGTATCCTATACTACTTGTCCTGCATCTTTATTTTCAGCCTGAATATATGGGGAAATAAGCCTCCCTGTGTAAAATGTATGAATAGTTCTTCGCTTACAACAGTTCATTTAGTGACTGTGCAAAATTACAACGGCACTGAAAAAAGTGATACGACCGTTTTTCACACAACTGTTGCAGCATCTCCATGGTCACATGATCAGAATTCAGATGCTTGACAACTGACTCACATTTATGATGAATGCTGTGTCCCGGGGTCATGTAATCCCCTTTTGCGACCTTCTGAAAAGCAAAGTCAATTGGGAAGCCAGATTCACTTAACAACCGTGCTACTAACGTAACAACTGCAGTGATTCACTTAACAACTGTGGCAAGACCATTATAAAATGGGGCAAAATTCACTTAACAACTGTCTTGCTTAGGAACAGTAATGTTGGGCTCAATTATGGTCATAAATCGAGGACCAGTTTAGCTGGAATACCTAAGTGTGAGTAGGGGCTTCCTTCACCATGAATTGGGGGAGGATGTAAATCCTGTTCAATAAATTATTAAATTTATTTCCGTTTCTATTTTGCTTGTAGCAAGCTATTGAAATGGTTATTTGAGGTTTTTCTACTTGTATATATTCTTTAGGAACTTGTCAAGCCAGCTGCTGAGGAGAATGTATCAGCTTTCTGTCAGCGTAGTTCTAATTTTGATCTGTTTCAGTAATATGGCATGTGTTCAGTTCACACAAAAATTGATGACTCACTTCTAAAATATCTGCCCCTTGTTGATCTTCCAAGGTTTAATCATCAGAGTAATGAAATCTGGGAGTCCAAGGACCCAATATTTTATTCTTTCAAGAACCTCCAGTGTCACTGATACCTTGATGTATCAACAGCTTCCTTGTTTTAATGCTTTGATGTCTGCCTGGAGCTTGTATTATGGATTGTATTCTTGCTTTGTTGTTTCCTTAATTGAATTCTGCTTACAACACCTACTATTCTCTTGGATATTATATCTTTACTATTATTACTTATCATTAGACAATGCATATGCTCGTTATTTTTTAGATTATAGCTTTTGCTTCTGCTTTCTATACATTATTCTTGCATCTTATTTACATATTGTGCCATCTTTTTTCAATTATAGGTGTGAATCACATATGTCTTAATTCTGTCTGCTTATAAACAGCTTCCACCGCAGTGAGAATAGTAGTATATTGCACCAAAGTAGAGTTCCTCTGATCCTTTAAAGATTAGCTTATTTATTATGAGGTTGCCTTTCAGTGACTATAATCCGTTTTGTTAAATCCTTGAAGCATTATCTTTTAAAAGAGAAAGGGAAAATGATTCAAAATGGAATCATAAAGTAATGAAATTACAGGTTTCTGATACCGTGTTTCCCCGAAAATAAGACAGTCCCTGATAATAAGTCCTCCCCCGAAAATAAGCCCTCCCTGAAAATATTTAACTGCATGCACAGCTGGTCCCCGCCATTTCCTGGTTAGGGTTAGGGAGACAGAGCTAGGTAAGATGGCAAGAGGAGCCCCATCTTGCTCCACACCCCAAAATAATAAGTCCTCCCTGAAAATAAGGCCATGCACTTATTTTGGGGTTCAAAAAATATATAAGACAGGGTCTTATTTTGGGGGAAGCACGATAATATTATTTAACGGTTTGCTTGTGCCTAGGTGGTCTGTAATTTTCCATTATTGAGAAGATTGAAAGTTGAGTTCACACATCTGAAAGTTTCCAGATCAGAAAGATTTCAAAAACTCTAACATTCTGTGTTAGCATTCTCTTCTGTGTGAATATGTTTTCATAGGTTATTTAGAAAACTGCAGGGATTATTAAAAAGGATAAAACAGCAACTTTACTAGATACTATTTTATTCAAGCATTGGGTTTTGGTTTAGCAAAGTCCATATTTTCCCCATTAAGTTCTATGCAGGCTTTCGGATTTTTTTCTGAGATGTTTTGGGGAGGTTTATATATTCCTCACTAAACATCTAAAACATAAGAGTAGGAGTCGATGAATCCTTTGTAGAAGAGGCCTAAGTAGCTAGACAATGCTAGATGCCCAGAGTAGCTCTTTGCTTCCTGAGGTGATGCAGAAATATAATGCAATTTGTACCTAGGATTGTTGAGTTTTCTTTCATGAATCTTTCCTTAGCTTGCTTTAGTTTACTCTGCCTTTGATTTATATTTAAATGTATTATTCTTGTCTGCCACCATTTGTTGGAAATGTAGAATGCAAATCTAAAAACCATATGTTTTATCAAACTTCATGATACGGAAATAGCCTTGTTTCAGTAATTTCTGCAGGTTTTCAGTCATGGTACTTTTCCTTTATGGATGGTGGCTTAGTGGCTAAGATGCTGAGCTTGTCGATTGAAAGGTCGGCAGTTCAGCGGTTCGAATCCCCAGTGCCACGTAACAGCTCCCATTACTTGTCCCAGCTTCAGCCAACCTAGCAGTTCGAAATCACGTAAAAAATGCAAGTAGAAAAATAGGGACCATATTTGGTGGGAAGGTAACAGCGCGCCTTTGGCATTTAATCATGCCGGCCACATGACCATGGAGATGTCTTCGGACAGTGTTGGCTCTTTGGTTTTGAAACAGAGATGAGCACCGCCCCCTAGAGTCGGGAACGACTAGCACATATGTGCAAGGGGAACCTTTACCTTTACTTTACTTTTACTTTTCACGGAATCAAATATGACTTTGTTCACAACTTGAAGAATTTCTCAGAGCTAGCAATGTTTACTTTATTTTTAAAGGATCAAAACTTTATGAGGAATCTAGTTCACTCAACCATATACATGATTTCACCTGCTATCCCATGAAATTCTGGGCATTTTGAAATGAAATCATTTTTAAAGTTGTTACTTTGTCCCTATGAAATTATGTGAAATCGTGTAATTTTAAGAATGACTTTCCTGGTAAGTGATCCATGTGAAAAAAGTGAGATTTTGTGCCACTGCAGTTTATTGAGATTCAACTTCAGCCATTGCAGAAGATGTTAGATTTGATCTCTATATAGTAGCAGTTTTTGCTCTACATGCTAACTTGGAAGTGTGATTGCTTGTGATTGTTATTTTTTGTTACTTTCAAGCAGCTTTTTTTAATTTTACCCTGATTTTTTGGGGTCTATGACCATACAGCAAACAAAATCAATAATGTGATATTGCCCACTACTTGAAAAGGTTTGCTGATTCTTGCTATTAAAATATTTTATCTGCCTTTTCTAATGGATTGTGTTTCATTACTCACAAAATTTAGATATAGATAGTCCCTGACTTATGACCAAATTTGAGTCCAATTGAGTCCAAATTTTCTATTGTTAAGTGAAACATTTGTTAAGTGGGTTTTGCCCCATTTTATGACCTTTCTTTTCACAGTTGTTAAGTGAATCACTTCAATTGATTAGTTAGTAGCCCAGTTGTTAAGTGAATCTGGCTTCCCCATTGACTTTGCTTGTCAGAAGGTTGCAAAAGGGGATCACATGATCTTGGGACACAGCATTGATCATAAATATGAACCAGCTGCTAAGCATCTCAATTTTGATCACATGATCGTGGGGATGCTGTAAAGGTCGTAACTGTGAAAAATGGTCATAAGTCACATTTTTCAGTGTTGTCGTAAATTTGAATGATCACTAAATGAACTGTTGTAAGTCAAGGACTACCTCTACTGGCTATATTCCTGATCTGTTTGTCTATGGCGGTAGGGGTCTCTGGTCCTCAGAATCGGAATGGGACAACTTGCCACAACCAACTCACATTGGTCAGTTCACTGTGAGACAACTTGCCATGGCCAACTCACCTGGGGGACACCTCACTGCAGGACAATTTAACAATTCAATTTAATTATTTAAAATAAATAAAAACTTATTTTAATTTTTGTCATTCACATTTCATTTGGTCCCTCCTTTTGCAGCCTTTCTTTAATTATTCTATTCCATCATTTCTTTGATATTAGTGTAACTCTTCTCCCATGGCGAGTTGGCCATGGCAAGTTGTCTTGGAGCAAGTTGACCATGGCAAGTTGGCCGTGGTGAGTTGGCCACAGCAAGTTGGCCGTGGTGAGTTGGCCACAGCAAGTTGGCCGTGGTGAGTTGTCATAGACCCCTCAGAATCTTCTTATAGGCAGGAGGTGAAATAGTGTTCTTTTTTTGTCAGTCCTTTTCTTGGTTTGTTGATAGCTACTGCTTCAGCAAATTCTGGATAGCAAATTGTGGATTTTGGATGAATTGGAAGAATGAAAAATAGAAATATAAGCAATATCTTAACTTGTTCATAAACATGCTTACTAATTGTTAAATATAACACTATAGTTAACATCTTTTAAATGTGTTTTCATTTTTTCCTGTCTCAATTGAGCGTGCTCCCCAAATTGTTGAAGTTGTTTTTTCTCATATAGTACCTTTAAATGATTTTTTATTAATACAGAATTCAAACGCGAATGTGAGTTCTTAATGTACTCATGTAACTTTTTTTTCTTATCTTTTCTTAATCTCCAGGACAGAGTTTGGGATATGGATTTGTGAATTACATTGACCCTAAGGATGCTGAAAAGGCAATCAATACTCTGAACGGATTGAGACTTCAAACCAAAACTATAAAAGTATGTAAACCTTTGCGATTAAAATTAATGCTAGAATAAAATAGCTTGAGTAACCTGTCCTGTGTATTTCCAGAAGCTATATAGTTTGGGAACTAATTATAATTTGTTCAAAAATTATTGCCTTTGTTTGCTGGAGCTTACACAGGTAGTTTGCATCTATTTGCAATCATATCAAAAGAAAATCCCAGTATCTATCAAGTTATGTGATACTGTATTAATATTGATAATAATATAAACAGAAAACGACTTCCCTGATAAATGTTCCCAGCAGCTGAATTTTCCTTCTTTGAATTCCCTTGTGCATTGTCTCATGGTTTTCATAGACAGAAGAGTTCTAAATAAATTCATTTTTTGCCTTGCCTGAGGGCTGCAGGAGGCACAGCTGATTATGTCTTTGGAATAGTCATTGAAATGTGTTTGTTGCAGTGAGAGAGGTTTGGAGGTGACAAATGGGGTGCTTGGGGAGACTTCTAGCCTATGAGCCACAACTGTTCTCCACTTTCCTAAAATAATACATTGATTTTCTTGTCATTTGAGATATACTGTAGATTTTAAGTGAAAAAGGTATGGGGAGAGTTAGATCATCCTCGCATTGGTATCTGAAATCATACCCGGCTATATTTTCCTTCTTCTGAGGTAATAAATGTGGATTTTTTTGAGTTACTGCTTTTTGCACATTTTTTTTTAAAAAAGATATTGAATGAATTTGATTGGTACAATAGATTCTTTACTTAGGCAAGAGTGAATAGTGATATATCGGTGAAACATCAGATGCAAGTACAGGTACTCCTCAACGTACAATAGTTCATTTACTGACCATTCAAAGTTATGATGACACTGAAAAAAGTGACTTATGACCATTTTTCACACTTAAGACCTTTGTAGTATCCCCATGGTTACCTGATCAAAATTCAGATGATTGACAACTGGTTCATACTTAATGACCGTTTCTGTGTTCCTAGGTCATATGATCACCTTTTGACAAGCAAAATCAGTGGCGAAACCAGATTGACTTGTCAGCCATGCTACTAACTTATCAACTGCAATGATTCACTTAACTGTGGCAAAAAGGTCATAAAATGGAGCAAAAGCAAAACTCATTTAACAAATGTCTCACTTAACAACAGATATTTTGGGCTCAATTGTGGCTGTAATTTGAGGACTACCTGTACTCTAATCCTCATGAAAACAAAGTAAAATGCTCATTGTTTGACCAGTTCGCTCCCACAGAGAGGGTCTCCTCCGGGTGCCATCGGCCAAGTTATGTCGGCTGGCGACACCCAGGGGGAGGGCCTTCTCTCTGGGAGCCCCAGCCCTGTCGAACGAACTGCCCCCGGAAATACGTAAGATCTCCGACCTCCGGGTGTTTCGCTGCGCACTGAAGACCCTGTTGTTCCGCCAGGCCGGACTATCAACATAATAGTTTTAAATTGGGGTATTTAAATTTTTGGGGGTTTTAAATCTGAGCCAATTTATTTAATTATTTTAAATTTTAATTGCTGTTTTGTCTGTGTTTTTAAATAGGCTGTACACCGCCCTGAGTCCTTCGGGAGAAGGGCGGTATAGAAATAAAATTATTATTGTTGTTGTTGTTGTTGTTGTTGTTCAGGAATTCATGTCCTTAATGAGGCTAGCCATTTATTCCTCATTAAACGAGAAGGCCACATTAAGGGAAGGCAAAATATGCCTTGAATGGGTAAAGTATATCTTAAATGTTCATAAATGGCATTTGTGTGCTCCCCATGAATCACAGCTGGTAATTAGTTACCAAGCCCTTGTCATGGTCAGTCATTCACTCCTTCGACTAGACTTTCGAGCCTCTAACCTCCGCCGCAGGGAGTCGGAACCGACCAGGTGGTTCCATCCCAGGTGCCTGATGGATCCGGATAGGTTCCTGACGGAGCTTGGGCCATTCCCTGAGGCTCTGGCTCACGACTCGACTGAAGAACTGGTGGCCGCCTGGTATAGGGCGGCTGCTGGAGCTTTGGACCGCATCGTGCCTTTGTGGCCTCTGACTCGGTGCCGATCTCAATTGGCTCCCTGGTTTTCCGAGGAGCTGAGGGAGATGAAGTGCTGGAAAAGACGCCTGGAGAGCGATTGGAGGTCCAGCCGCTCCAAATCTGACCAAATACTAGTGAGGTCTCATATTAAGACCTACTTAGTGGCGATAAGAGCAGCAAAATCAAATTATTTTTCTGCTCTTATTACGTCTGCAGAGAACCGCCCAGCAGCCCTGTTTAAGGTGACCCGCTCCCTTCTTCAATTGGGAGCGAGGGAAGACCCCTTGCAGGGTAGGGCTGAGGATTTTGTGCAATTCCTGCATGATAAAGTCACTCAGATTCGGGAAGGCTTAGACTCCGATTGGGTAGTTTCAGATGGGGTGACGGAGGTGGGTCTTGAGAATGTTATCTGGGAGGGGTTTGTCCTTGTGACTCCTGAGGACATGAACAGGATTCTGGGTAGACTTAGCACTGCCACATGTTTATTGGACCCATGTCCCTCCTGGTTGGTGCTGGACTCCCGGGTGGTCACACGAGGCTGGCTCCAGGGGATTATTAACGCTTCGTTGAGTAAGGGGCTCTTCCCTCCCTCCCTAAAAGAAGCGGTGGTGAGGCCCCTCCTCAAGAAGCCTTCCTTGGACCCAGCTGTATTAGCAAACTATTGTCCAGTCTCCAACCTTCGCTTTGTGGCGAAGGTTGTTGAGAGTGTGGTGGCGCGACAACTTCCCCAGTACCTGGATGAAGCTGTCTATCTAGATCCGTACCAGTCGGGCTTCAGGCCAGGGTACAGCACGGAAACGGCATTGGTCGCATTGGTCGATGATCTCTGGAGGGCCCGGGACAGGGGTTGTTCCTCTGTCCTGGTCTTATTAGACCTCTCAGCGGCTTTTGATACCATCGACCATGGTATCATGCTGTGTCGATTGGAGGGGTTGGGAGTGGGGGGCACCGTGTTGTGGTGGTTCTCCTCCTTCCTCTCTGACTGTATGCAGTTTGTGTTGGCAGGGAGTCAGAGGTCGACCTCGAGGCGCCTTGTTTGTGGGGTGCCGCAAGGGTCGGTCCTCTCGCCCCTTCTGTTCAACATTTATGTGAAGCCGCTAGGTGAGATATCCATGGTTTTGGGGTGAAGTGCCATCAGTACGCTGATGATACTCAGCTGTACATCTCCACCCCGGACCACCCCAATGATGCCCTTGAAGTGATGTCCCGGTGCCTGGAGGCCGTGCGGATCTGGATGGGGAGAAACAAGCTCAGACTCAACCCTTCCAAGACTGAGTGGCTGTGGTTTCAGGCATCCCAATATAGCCAGCTAGCTCCATCACTGACTATTGGGGGTGAGATCCTGATCCCCTCAGAGAGGGCTCGCAACTTGGGTGTTCTCCTGGATGCACAGCTGTCTTTAGACGACCATATGACAGCTGTGGCCAGGGGAGCTTTCTATCAGGTTCACCTGATTTACCAGTTGCATCCCTTTCTGGACCAGGACGCCTTACGCACAGTCACTCACGCCCTTGTCACATCCCGTCTGGACTACTGTAATGCTCTCTACATGGGGCTCCCCTTAAAGAGCACCCGGAGGCTCCAACTGGTCCAGAATGCAGCCACGCGGATAATTATGGGTGTGACACGCGCACCCATGTAGCACCTCTCCTGGGCGAGCTGCACTGGCTCCCGGTGGTCTTCCGGGTGCGATTCAAGGTGCTGGTTACCACCTTTAAAGCGCTCCATGGCTTAGGACCTGGGTATGTACAAGATCACCTTCTGCCACCAGTAGCCTCCACTGGTCAATATGCTCCCACAGAGAGGGACTCCTCAAGGTGCCGTCGGCCAAACAATGCCGACTGGTGACACCCAGGGGGAGAGCCTTCTCTGTGGGGGCACCTGCCCTCTAGAATGACCTGCCCCTGGAGGTTCGTATGATCCCCGACCTTCGTACCTTTCGCCATGCTCTTAAGACCATTTTGTTCCAACAGGCTGGGCTGGCTTAGAATATGAATTTTAAATGGGACTGTTTGTCAATGTTTTAACTTTGTGGGCCAAATTTTATATATTCGTTTTAGATTGTTTTTAAATTTTGTGAGTTTATGTGAGTTTTAATCATGGCTGTACACCACCCTGAGTCCTTTGGGAGAAGGGCGGTATAGAAGTTTAATAAACTAACTAACTAACTAACTAACTAATATGCTATATTGGATTTCAACATCCAATATTTCTACTCATCGACTTTCAATGGAGATTGAAATCTAACATGAGGAGGGCCAAGTCATCATCAGTCACAGAGAAAGCGTGCAATGTAGAATTGTTGAAATAACATTTTACACATGTTTCTCAACCAGTGAAATCACATAATCAAAAGGCATTTTCCTCCCTGGGAATTACAGGTAATCCTTCACTTACGACAACAGCTGAGACCAACATTTCTGTTGCTAAGCGAAACATTTGTTAGGTGAATTTTGCCCCATTTTATGACCTTTCTTGCCACAGCTGTTAAGTGAATCACTGCAGTTGTTATGTTAGTAACTTGGTTGCTAAGTGAATCTGGCTTTCTCATTGACTTTGTTTGTCAGAAGATCACACAAGGTGATCACATGACCGCACGGCACCGCAGCAGTCATAAATATGAGTCAGTTGCCAAGCTTCCAAATTTTGATCACGCGACAATGGTGATGCTTCAACGGTCATAGGTGTGAAAAACAGTCACTTTTTTCAGTGCTGTTGTAATTTTGAATGGTCATTAAATGAACTGTTGTAAGTCGAGGACAACCTGTACAGCATTTTCTCAGGGCCAGGTTGTGGGGGAGGCATGCGGTGGGTGGAACTTACTTAAGGAATGGGTACATGCACCTGTTCTCTTTTCAGATACAGTTTTTCTTGTTCTTGCTCTCTCCATCTCAGTCTCCCAAGCAGCAAGTTACAGGGAGGAAAGAAATGGCTCTTGGCAAAATCTTGAACTGATTTCTTGCAGGGAACTTTTAAAATTAGTCTACAGGCCATAAGTTA